GAGATGATGTTTTCCTGATCGTTACAATCATGACTTTTTCAAGTCTAGGGTCAGCTGTTATCTTTTCCTATATATCCTCATAATAGTCACTTTTTACCTCCTCCGCTCGTATTCATACAACAACCTCATTTAATAACCCTTTACCTTGAGTAGCTTTTGGGCCTTGTATTGGGTGAAGAATTAGTAAAAATCATATTTATTTTTATTCTTTCTTGAAGTCAGAATGTTGTGATCACTTGTCTGTATCCTTTTTGTGTGTTGACACCATTCTTAATTTGTGATATTTTTGTCTCATTACTGTTACTTTGCCGACTTTTGTCTTGCATATATTGTTTGTTTTGTATTATTTTTGCCTTATTCTTTTCTTTCTTGTCTTATTATTTATTGCAAAATTTATTTGTTGGGCATTTCTGCCAATTACTCTTCAATGCAGATCAAGTTTTTTTTTTTTTTTTCTGAATCTCAAATCAAAAATATTTTTGAACAGAATAAAACTGAAGTGTAGAAATAAGTTTGGAAGGCCATTTTAATTAGCAGTGCTCTTAAAATCAAAAGAGTAATTTCAAATTTCAGGCAAGGAATTGGGCATTAATCAAATGGAAATTTTCTGATTCAGTGGATCAAGGAATTATTTTATTGGACTGGAATTGGTAAAACAGTTTGTCAAGAATTATTGTTGCAAAAAAGTATAATGATGAAAAGAAAATTGCTAAGTAACAATTCAAAATGGGGGAGGAATTGAAGAAACCTGGGATCATAAAAGAAGCATATGACCTGACACACTTATACTGTTATCTATAAATATCTGGAATTAGATTTAATGTATTTTACATAATCGATGGAATTATAGTGGGTTAAACTTACTGTAGTTTTGCTTATTTGCAGTTGAAAAAGTGTTGCCAGATTTGTTAAATAGAAACACAGGTCACCTTGATCAAATGTTACTAATTTGCATATACATACATACATACATTTTATATATATATATATATATATATATATATATATAAGAAATAAGTAAAAAACTAGTCTTAGCTGATGCACACACACACACACACACACACACACACATATATATATATATATATATGATTGTATCCAATGAATAAATGATTGGTGTATATTCTTAAAATGCTCAATACAAAGTCCAATATATAAATTTTTTTAAATAATATATATATATATATATATATATATATATACATATATATATATATATATATTTATTTAAATTTTTTTAAAAACATTTTGAAATTGCTATTTAAGCGTTCATATTTCAATGCTATAAATGTACTTCTTCAGGTGTTGGTAAATAACAATGTTAAGAAGTACAATCATAGAATTGAAATGTGAATGCTTTTGTGTAGTGATTTCAAAATGTTTTTATTATAATCTCTTACAATAAAAATATAATTTGTATCGCACTTTTTTAAAAGTAAATGCTATGAACAGTGGATTTTTACTTCATCTGTTCTTTCTTCCATTTATATATATGTGTGGACACTGAGTAGTGAAAGTCTGTTTTATGCTTGCATGCAATCTTCAGGCCATGTGTGTTGTGTAGTAGCTTGACTGTTTATATATGCTGGTGAATGGACCATTTTAGGTAGCAAATTCAGGTATTTCTTGTTTATTGTATTGCCCTAACAGTTATTGGGGAGTCCATTATGTTTCAAATAACTGTAAAGGCTTTTGAGTAGTAATAATTGTGGATCAGAATGCACTTATTGGTAGCTATAATATAGTGTTGTTGATTATTATTATTAATAAAATTACTTAGCTGTGGTTATGCACATATTTGTAGTGTGTTTGGTTTATTTTACCACATGTCAACCACAATGGGTTATTTAATGCCGACAAATTTTTTATTGCAGTAATGTGTTTTTCTTCAAAAATCTATTTTTGGGAATATTTTTCCTTGAAGAAATCTATAGCTGGTAATATTTTTTTTCAAAGAATGTATAGCTGTTTGTATTGATGGTATATTTTTTTAAAGCTATTTTTACACAAGTTTGGGTGTTAACTATTTGCCCATAGCTGGGACCCCAACAGGTGCTACCACCCTGGGTCAAGGTGGACCTGGGAACACCAGCAATTAAAAGGTGGCTCCTCAAAACATCCTGATCAGAGGCCTTGCTGTTGGACGTAGTTTATAGTCTTACCCAGGACATGGATGTGGTTTATCGTCATATCCAGGATGGTTGTAGTGTTATATATATATATATTTATTTATTTGGTTTGGTTTGTTTGTTTTGTTTTATAGTATATCAACCTCAATGGGTTATTTAATGCCAACAAAATTTGTATTGCTGGTAAAATGTTTTCCCTTCAAAAATCTTTTTCTTGTAATATTTTTTCTTCAAAATTGTTTTTTTTTCAAAAAAGTATAGCTGATAATAATTTTTTTTTTTTTCAAAAATGTATTGCTGGTAATAATTGAATACAAGCAATTAAGAGGTGGTTCCATGCTCCTCAAAACCTCCTGATCAGAGGCTTTGCTGTTGGATGTAGTTTATCGTCATACCCAGAACGGATATATATATATATATATATATATATATATATATCATTTTCAATAAAAATATTACTGCATGGGACAAAGCTGCTAAAAAATGCTAACATGTTTATCTAGGTTAAATCACTTTTTTTGTTTTTTTTTGTTTTTAAACCTTAATCCAGGACATTAAAAGTGACCTGATAAAGTGAAATTGTAGACGACATTCATTAAATAAAGGACATTTCTAATTCTGTGTGAATTGTATTCAGCTGCTAAGATTTGTAAATGTAGAGAAAATAATAGAATTGATATATCTGGAAAGTATATTCTATTATTTAAGGATATTTTGGCACAAGGACAAATTCTTATTCATGAGCATTGTTTTTCTTTGAGGATTTTTGGTTTTCTCACCAGATGTTTTGTTTTTAGCTGCTTAAAATTTTTTTCCCTTTTCAATGCCAAATTGTTGGCAGTTTGTGAACTTCCTCTCCCCTTGTAGTAATTTTTTCTCACTGCAGGGTGTGTGTATATCAGAAACAAATCACTTTGGAGATAGGACAGAGATTGGTGGGGTGTGCTGGAACGTTTGGTAGGTCAAGCAGGTATCTGAAGATTTTTGGCAGGACCGTGACCTACTTAAATAAAAAGTCAGTGCTCTAAACTTTTGTAGTAAATTGCATCCTACACCCTCTCCATCCTCGTCACCATTAAAAGATTTTTTGAGGACATATGACTTGTCTTCTTGTCATATTCTTAATTTGTTGTCTAATTTTGAGGTGTCATTAATATTTCCAGATTTCTTGCAACAATTCAGTTCTATCCTTTTCCTCTTGTTTTTTTATTCACATTACTTGAAAATTTGACACTGATCAGACATTGCTTATTTTTTAAAAGATTACATAAACTTACTGTGGTTACAATTACATATCCAAGATCGTATAAACTGGGGCATATATTTTTTGTTTAAATGTATCATATTACACTTTGCTTTGAGAAATGGTTTGCTTTCAATGGTATTTTGAATTAGACATTTAAATTTTACTGCACACTGTAAACTCACAATTAATATGCCCAATGCACAAAAATTGTCTGGTTTAAGCAATGTTTAGATTTTTATTTATTTATTTATTTTATCAAATTAGGCAACCTAGTGACAAAATTCAGTTACACTAATAAATTTCACTCAAATTTCATTCAGCTATATTTCCTTTCTTTAATATCTCTCTATATCTTTGAGATGAGGTATTATGATTACTTGCATTATTTACATTCTTTGGAGTGTTATCCTCATCTTCGTTGTCATATTCACAACATTTCAACTGTTGTACGCTTTGGACTTCTTCAGGTGATTGGAATTTTGAACCAAACTCATTGTCCACTACAGTACATTGTTCTATTTGGAGAATTGAGTTAAAGGGAAATAGCTGTGGCATCTGGAAGAGGCATGGCACGTGGAACTAGAACAATATACCCCCATGGACAAAATAAAGGGTTTGGTTTGAAACTCCAATCATCTGAAGAAGGCTGAAGTGTATAACAGCCAAAACGTTGTGAATATGGCAATGAAGATGAGGATAATAGTTCAAATAATGCAAGTAATCCTTTGATATTTGTTATTGATAATACTTTGATATTTGATATTGTTTAAGATACTCATTTGTTTTTTTTGTTTTTTTTTTAAATGTAACACTGGAATTCTTGAATATGGTGGCCTTAGACTCAGCAAATCTCTGCTTTGTTTTTTAAAAAAAAATCAAATTGGAGTAATTATTGATATTCAACTTTATCTTAAACAAAGTCAGGGGTCAATGCTTCATTTTATTGGCATGTTTTAATTAATCTACTTGTTAAAAAAAACATGAGAATTTTCCAAATGCAAACAGAAGTTTATCATAAAATGTTTCAGTTAGTTCTTCATTTATGTGTTATATCCCTTCAGGACTTAGATATCGATCATGGTCTTCCACATCTTCCTGTTCCTTGTAGCTTTTAATAAGTTTTGTCTTCTTGTTATTTTTCCCAAACTCTGTTCTACCATCCATTTGCTCAAGCTCATCAAGTATGGTAGGTGCTGCTTTTCTCTGTCCCTTTTTCTTTCAATCTGTCCTGTGAGATTCAGATTTTCCAAGCCCTCCTTCCTCATTACGTGCCCCAGAAATTTCAACTGCCTCTTCCTGATGTTAAGCATAAGTTTCCTTTTTCTCTAAAACCTCATCATTGCTCACATGTTCAGTCCATGGTATTCTCAACATACTTCTGTAGAGCCGCATTTCTGTTGTTTCAAGTCTTTTCATCTTTGGGGAAAATGTTTTCAGCATTCACTGCCATACAAAAGGACAGATATCAAGTAACCATCCAGTACTCTTTGGTTCTAAGAAAATTTTTCTACATGTTCAAATTGCATGAAAAATAAGCTTTGTCATGCTTTTAAAGGGAGATAAATGCATATGTATTAGTTTGAATTGGAAACCATTTTATAATTTTTATTTCTATTTTTATTTAGTTTATTCATTCTGCAATTCCTGAAGCCAATGGAGTGGGCACTTTACTTAGGATCTTGTATCCTTGGATTTGGAGCAGCAAGTAAGACATTTCTGTTTTTTTTTTTATTGTTTGATTGATTTTTTTTTCTTTATACAGGAGTTCATACAATAAGTTCATAGTAATTTTCCAGAGATTATCCTACATTTCTCAATAGGGATTCAATGAAAGAAGTAACTGAAATTATATTACCTCTGTCCTATAATAGTTGTTACATTTGCATACACATTTTATGCAACACAACATGTTCTTGCTGGATTGGATAGGACACACACATATAACTGTAATGAGAAAGACTTAGAAGAAAGATTTATTCTCTAATCTTATTTCCCCTATTATGGGTAGTATTATATCCACGATATAATAACAATAACACTGTAAATCAAGGACAGAATGAAATGGCTGAAAGGAAAAGGAATGGTAAACATGCTTTGTTCTCAGAGACATTTATACCACTAAGACATACAAAAAAACATATATATATATATATAAAGGGAGGCACGGTGGAGTTGCGGATAGCAGTTTGGATTGAGGAATTGGAGAGTCGAGTTTGAATTCCAGTCAAATCCATTACATTCACTTACATGCTAATACCCTTGGGGAAAGTATTAATCCTCCTCTTCTCCCCCCAGCTATGTGTATATAGCAGGACAAACTGGTTTCTATAGCCTTGGATGGCAACTGGTCTAGGAGAAGGAAAATTCTGAATTCAAAACCTTTGGAGGGTTGTTTGGGGATTTTGTGGCATGTAGTGCACCAGGTCTCTGTATTTGGCGCTTCAAAAAGTGTGGTTGGTTCTGCACAAAGCTTTCACCACTATAATCAAAACATTGCTGGTGCCTGGCTGTCAGTTTCTAGGAACTGAGCTGTTTGACCCTCATATGTTGAATACAACAGAAGAGTCCATTTTTACACACACACACACACACACACACACACACACACGTCCCATGCAGAAAAAAAATATCTACACAGCAAGCAGAGTGTAAGGAGAAATGAAAAGGAAATCTTACATATAATATGAAAATTCTTTTGTGATTTCTGGAGAAGCCATATTTAGGACTATGGATTCAGTATATTAAGTCCCAGTCGAGGACATATTCCATGAATAGGGAAACAATGTCTTGGGTTTCCCCAAATTGAGGACTGAGAGCTATATCTGAAAAAGATATATTCCCAAAAGGAAATGGCACCATGGACTTGTAAACTGCTGGTGGAGGCAGATTTAGCCTCAGCTCAGGCCACTTTGGCCCAGGCTAAAAAACAACTGCTTGGTTTGGCTACTGTAAACAGACTAAAATTGACTGCTGCTTTTGTCACTGAAGTCATGTCACTAAACAGCTGTCATGTGTCCCATGTGGCTTATCTCTACCAAAGAGAGATAATAGCTTTCTGCATCCCTACATAGCGAAGTGGGCTGTAAAATTATTTTATCTGAGCCTGAAGTGACTAGTGTTTTATAAACAATAAAGTCTAATTATGAGGCCTTAAAAGCAACCACTTGTTGTCCACTGGTTGGGAACAAGTAAATAAATAAATGAAAACTTTTGGGATAAAGTGACACTTGGCCAGAAGGTAAGGAATTCTGGTCATAGACCTATATGGTCATGTTGAATTCTAGAATTGGTAGATAGTGTTGTGTCAGTGATGAGAGTGAGATAGTTAGAGCAAGAGAGATGTAAAATTGGAAGCAGATGGAATTCTCACTGACTGAAAAGCTCTGGTCTGTTAGCGTGTTGTGAGAAAAGTCAGAAGTAGCAGTAAAGATGTCTTGAGTCTCATTTACTTCCCAACTAATCCAGATTGGTGACCAATTTGTAGCTTAGAGGGGAGAATTTGTCTTGAATGTTATTGAGAACATTCAAAACAATTCACATTTTCAAAAGAAATGAATTTCAACACTAGAGGAATTTTATACATATATTTATATAGAACAAAATATGTGTGTGTGTACACACAACATATTTATATAGAACAACTTAGCTCACATAAGAAGAGAAAGCAAAAATTTACATGTATACAGCTCAAACAAGAGAAAGTAAGAAATATTTGTGCTTAACTGTAGTATCTGTGTATCCATTGGTGGCATCCTATCAGTTTGCACCGGTTCTTAAAATTATAAAAGCTTAGTGAACCGGTTGTAGAATTATCCGAAAATAATCTTATATATTAGTAGCCAATGGTCAAGGTAAAATGTTACACTATGTTCATGCATGCTCCTACTGTAGTTTATTGTTGCCTATTGTATCTATTCCTTCCTACCTGTTGTGATGAAGGCCAAATCAAGAACTCTCAGCAGAAGCTAGCTTAAATGCCACTTGATAAGGTGGTTTTTAAGAGAGTTTTTAATAAAAATAAATTTTCTAAAAAGAGACAAAAATGGCCTCAGGCTGGAAACTAAGTTGGGTATATAGTCTGAGATAATTTTTTTTTTTTTTTTTTTTAATCCTTTCACACCAAACAAGGCAATAATACCAAGAGGTTACTGGGAGTGAAAGAACGAGAAGATTTTAGTGAGGAGAAAGGACACTAAAAGAACATGCTTCAGGGAGATAAAAGTTGGTGATTAACATTGCTTTAGAATTTTTGAAGCTCATAGGTGGTAGGGAAAAAAATAAACTGAAAGAATTCCACAGGTGAGAAGTGTGAGAAAAGAAACTATTAGAATAGAACACATGGTGTCATCTAGTTATAAAATGGTGAGACCTAATTGCCAGTCTAGTAGTATGCTTAAATTCATGCAGTTGAAGCACCAAAGCTCATCAAAGCAGTTACCATGAGAATATTTTTATAGAAAAGACAGAGGGAAGCCATATCATAGTGGTGGGAAAGCAGCTGAAGTCAAGATGCTAGATAATTTAAATAAACACATTCACATACTCTTGGAAAAAGAATGGAGAATGAATTACTATAAGTGTGTGCCTGTGCTAGTGAATATTATTTAGTACTTGTGATAAAATGAAAACATACATGTGTTCTACATCTGCACTGTTGTCTGCAGATTTTAAGCATCCAATGAAATATTGGCAGACCCACATCAGTTTTGATTGCAGTCAATCTGTAGAATGTGCAAAGATCTTAACAAAAATGTATTGGGTATAAGCAGAAAGTTTTGGGGTTAGTGAATGAGTAGGAGGCGTTCGTTAGGAAAAGCTAATCAAGTAAGATAACTGTCAGCTTCCATTTTTACAACACAATAGGAACATTTTATCAAAAGAAGCAGGAGAATACAAACTGGCAACTTTTCAATTTGACAGCCTGTTGGTTAGAATATTGGACTGAATTCAGTAATGACCAAGGTTCGATTTATAGACAAGTCATGAGTGCAGCATCAGCTAAATGAGTTTGTTTCTTTAAATTTAGACTTCCAAAGAATGGTCATTTAATTTTTTTTCAAGTATGAGTTGGTGATAAAGTTCTCAGTTCAACAGGTTCCCAAAATTGGAACAAATGAATATCATAATTTTAAAAAAATCTCTTCTTCATGAGAACTTTTCAGCACCCTCTTGTAATAAAATTTCTGAAATGTATTATTGTAAACAAGGCCACAATATATATTATTAAAGTTGCATTAAAAATAAATGAACTTATTAAAGCAACAGTGATAAACTTAGATTGAAATACTTTTCTAGAAGTCTTAGAATTAAAGATAAAAAAATAAAATATTGCCATCCTACTATAGTACTTTTGTCATTTTTAATCTAAAATGAAAATAATCTTGCCACAAAAGTCAGTTTTCTGGCAAAAACAGAGAAACCAGAAGAAATTTGATTGTGAAATTTTACAGAAAAGAGGCTTTATTTGCTACATGTGATTCTATCCATTTCTGCTGTTACTGGAATATGAACATAGAAAAGTCTGCACTAGTGATAGTTTTGTCCAATACCGTAAGATGGTACAAAACTAAAACTATAACCTGAAGCCTCAAGAAATGTTCTTGAATAGCCTTGCCAGATCGAGCTGTTCATATGATGTCATGCACAGCACTCAACTTCAGAAATAACTAAATTATCAGCTGTATACAACTGCTTTATCAAATTGATGATTAAAAATGGCTTCCAACAAATAAAATCTGTAAGTCATCGAGATGAAAATCCTTCTTTGAATCTGATAGAATGGTGCTACAAAATCCTAAAGAACTGTATCAAATAAAGATCAGATGACTTGAGGACCTTCAACAGTGGCAACAACAAAAATGGATGGCACATGTAAGTTGAAGAGAAAGTAATTAAATACCATACATATATATATATATATATATATATATATATATATATATATATATATACTAAGTTTGGGCATAATTTCCTCCAGTTGATTGACAAACTTTTTCCTAAAAGTAACCCTCTTAGTAAAATATTTAACAGAAACACATTAAAGCAAAGTTACAGCTGTATCAATAATCTTGAAGATTATAACATTACACAATAATAAAATTTTAAACCAGTTTAATAATCTGGATCATAATACACATTCCAAGATAAATTTATTAATGATACTGGCCAATGTAATTGTAGGAATTCTGACCAATGCCCATTGCCAAACAAACGTTTAACTAAATCTCGTTTATCTTTGTACTATCTCTACAATAGAGAATCTGACAGTTGAAAAATTCTATATTGGTAGTACTATGAATTCTTTTAAGACCAGGTGGTATCAACATATGTCCTTTACTAATACTACTTACAGATATAATACATCACTTTCTAAATATTTTTGGAGTTTAAAAGATAAGACATCTAAGGTGAAATGGAAAATTTAAAAAATGGCAAGGACATGAAGATCTTTATATGAACCCGGTTTTCTTTGTTTACATGAAAAATTGAAAATTATCAGATTCAATAAAAATTCCTTATTAAAGAAATGAATTAACAGTAAATTGTAAACATAGTTTACCATTTATTTTACAATTAAACTTTGGAATTTGATTATGCTTTTTCTTATATTTTACTTGCATTATATATGGCTTATCTTTCTATTTGTAAGATTAATTTGGATTTAATATAATTTTGCATTAATCTCCTGGTAATATTAGTAACATC